TTCCTTCCTTCCTTCCTTCCTTCCTTCCTTCCTTCCTTCCTTCCTTCCTTCTTTCCTTCCTTCCTCCCTTCTTCCCTCCCTCCCTTCCTTCCCTTTTTTAGATGGAGTCTTATTCTGTCACCCAGGCTGGAGTGCCGTGGGGCCATCTCCGCTCACTGCAACCTGCAACCTCTGCCTCCCGGTTTCAAGCAATTCTCGTGCCTCAGCCCTCCAAGTAGCTGGGATTACAGACGCCTGCCACCATGACTGGCTAATTTTTATATTTTTAGTAGAGACAAGGTTTCACCACATTGCCCAGGCTGGTCTCAAACTCCTGACCTCAAGTGATCCACCTGCCTCGGCCTTCCAAAGCACTGGGAATTACAGGCGTGAGCCACTGCACCTGGTGGCCTCACTTTCTCTGCACACTGTCAAGGTTGCAGCAGTTGCTATTTTTAACCTTCAGCCATTCTCTCTGCCGCAACACCTCCTTGTGGTTTTAGTTGCATTTCCCCAGTGGTGGGTGATTCGGAACCTCTTTCCAGGTGCTTGTTTCCATTTGCACGTTGTCGTGGGTTAAATGTATCTTCACGTCTCTTGCCTGTTTTTAAATTGTTCTCTACTGCTGAGTTTTGTTTTTTGTTTTTTGTTTTTGTTTTTTGTTTTTTGTTTTTGTTTTTATTGCAGGAAAACACGCAAAACATGAAACTTACCATTTCAGCCATTGTAAACAGTCACGGAATTGTACAACCATCACCACTGTTTAGTTCCAGAACTTTTCACTCCCCAGATGGAAAACCTCAAATCCAAAAAGCATTTACTTCCCCTTCCCCAATCCCTTCAGCTTCTGAGTAACAATGAATTTGCTTTCTGTCTCTGTGGATCTGCCTATTCTGGGTATTTCATACAAATAAAATCATAAAAACTGGGCATGGTGGTGCATGCCTGTGGTCTCGGCTACTTGAGAGGATGAGGCAGGAGGATGGTTTGAGGCCAGGAGTTTGAGACCAGCCTGGGAAACATAGCAGGACCCTGTCACTATTTTTATTTATTTCTTTATTTTTATTTATTTTTTTTTGAGATGGAGTTTCACTCTTGTTGCCCAGACTAGAGTGCAATGGCGCGATCTCGGCCCACTGCAACTTCCGCCTCCTGGGTTCAAGCAATTCTCCTGCCTCGGCCTCTGGAGTTGCTGGGATTATAGGCATGCGCCACCACACCCAGCTAATTTTGTATTTTTCATAGAGGCGGGGTTTCGCCATGTTGGTCAGGCTGGTCTCAAACTCCTGACCTCAGGTGATCCGCCCGCCTCAGCCTCCCAAAGTGCTGGGATGACATGCATAAGCCACCACGCTTGGCCCCAGAGTTTCATTCATTTTAATGGCAAAATCACACTGCATTTGGTTCATCCATGCACCTGCTGAGGACACTTGGTTTATTTCTACCTTGTATATATATTGTGTGTGTGTGTGTGTGTGTGTTTGAGACGGAGTCTCGCTCCGTTGCCCAGGCTGGAGTGCAGTGTACAATCTCGGCTCACTGCAACCTCTACCTCCCGGGTTTGATTCCCCTGCCTCAGCCTCCTAAGTAGCTGGGACTACAGGCATGCACCACCACACCCCCCTAATTTTTGCATTTTTAAAAATTTTTGTGTATGTATGTATGTATTTATTTTTGAGATGGAATCTCACTCTGTTACCCAGGCTGGAGTGCACTGACCTGATGTCAGCTCACTGCAACCTCTGCCTCCTGGGTTCAAGCTATTCTCCTTGAATACAGGCACCTGCCACACCTAGCTAATTTTTGTATTTTTAGTAGAGACGGGGTTTAACCGTGTTGGCCAGGTTGGTCTCCAACTCAGGGCCTCAGGTGATCCACTTGCCTCAGCCTCCCAAAGTGCTGGGATTATAGGCGTGAGCCACCATGCCCGGCCAGTACTTTGTGTATTTTCAGTAGAGATGGGGTTTCACCATATTGGCCAGGCTGGTCTCAAACTCCTGGCCTCCAGCAGCTCTGCCCACCTCAGTCTCCCAAAGTGCTGGGATTATAGGCATGAGCCGTCATGCCCGGCCAGTACTTTGTATTTTCAGTAGAGATGGGGTTCCACTATATTGGCCAGGCTGGTCTCGAACAGGTGTGAGCCACCATGCCCGGCGTCTTTTGTATATTGTGAATAGTGCTGCTGTGAACATTTACATGCAAGCTTTTATTTGAACACCTGTTTTCACTTCTTTTGGGTATATAACATATCCACGGAGTCATATGCAACTCTGCGTGGAACTTGTTGAGGAAATGCTGGACTTTTTCTAACAGTGACTATTTTACATTCCCAACAGCAGTGAATTTCTCCTCATCCTTAACACTTGCTATTTTTATTTATTTATTATCATGGCCATCCTAATGGATATGGAATGGTATCTTACTGTGGTTTTGATTTGCATTTCCCCAGTGACTAATGAGGTTGAGCATCTTTTCAAGTGCTTCGTGGCCATTTTTTTGTGTGTATATATATATTATTTGTTTATTTGTTTTGGAGACGGAGTCTCGCTCTGTCACCCAGACTGGAGTGCAGTGGCGCGATCTCGGCTCACTGCAACCTCTGCCTCCCAGTTTCAGGCGATTCTCCTGCCTCAGCCTCCTGAGTAGCTGGGACTACAGGCACATGCCACCATGCCTGGCTAAGTGTTTTGTATTTTTAGTAGAGATGGGATTTCACCATGTTAGGCAGGATGGTCTCGATCTCCTGACCTCACGATCTGCTCACCTCAGCCTCCCAAAGTGCTGGGATTACAGGCATGA